TGAGAAAATTACAAATCAAACAAGCCAACAAAAATGATTTTCATTCAGCGTTTGACTTTGACGTTTCAGGCTGTTTTTTTTTTTTGAATTCGTTCGGAAATCTAACCGATGTTCCGATTTACACAGAATATTTGACAAATTGGCATAAGTATAATATCATCATTGAATTAGCACGACAGAAGAAAAAGAGAGAATTTGTACGATTTCTTCGACATGTGCAATATTTTAACCAAAGAGCAGAAAGGGTTTAGAAAAAAATATATCTATTAATGTAGCCATCTATGAACTAGCATAAGCATCTATAACTGCATAAGGTTAACACGAACAGTGACAATAATTCTCACCTGAGCTATTTTTATAGACATGACAAGGGCTGTTGATCACGTGGACCATAGTATATTATTACTTTTTTTATAATGTCAATTTGATCACTATAACATCAAAGGTAACGCCCTGAAACTTACAGTCTTATTTGGCAAATCAATACTAGGATACAGAACTTCAAGTAATAGAGTCAGAAAGTTCAGATCGAAATGTAGACGTGAAATACGGGGTACCTCAAGGCAGCATACTGGACCCCCTACTGTTCCCAACTTCATTATATTAATGACATGCCAAAAAATACTAAATATCCAGTAATATTATATGCAGACGATAGCTCATTAATTGTTGAATGCTTGGACAATAATTACGAACACTATGAAAACGAAATAAACACTACTCTCAAAATTTTTGTAAAAATATCAGTAAAAATTTAACAATAAATTTAAATAAAACAAAAATAATGCATTTTCAACAAAGATTGAGCATACCAGTAAAAATATATATCAAATATGATAACATTTGCCGACAGATAGTTGACGCTACTAAATTCTTTGGAGTAAGTATAGATAAAAACATGTCATTTGAATCTCACTCTCAAAGCGTTTGTGCCAAACTCTACCAATTCTCTTATGCTTTGTTTACTATATCAAAAACGATAGACCGGAAAACGATTATTAAAGCGTATCATGGTTTCGTAGGGTCAACTTTAACATACGGAATCATATTTTGGGGCAACTCTAGTAACAGAAGTACAATTTTCAGTGCTTTAAACGATGTATACGAGCAATTTGTGGACTAAAATATATGGAAAGCTGTCGTTCTTCTTTGAGTCTCTTCACTTTCCATTTGTATGTACTCGAAGTTTCTAAATTTCTCAAAAAGAACCCAAATTTCTCCACAACTAGACTTACGGCACAAAATCGTATTTCACGTTCTAGGCCACAATTATTGAGTACAAAGATCTGCAAAACAGCTCTACTTAGAAAGAGTGTTGTTCAACTTGCACCGGTCATATGTAATAAAATTCTAGATCGTATAGAATCACTTGAGACGGGTAAGTTCCAAAATATGTTGAGTAATTTATTAATAGATAAATGTTACTATGACATCAACGATTTACTAAATGACATTATAACTAAGACTTAATCTTATTCACTCGAGGAAGCCTACGTTAGGAATTGATATTTTGCCGCCTTTCTTTCTCGAACTCGTTCTTAAATCCCAAAGTTACTGAAGTGCAAAAAATGGATTTACAAATTCTGCAGGCTGATTTCACGTCACATTTCCTTCATATTTACACACTAGTTTTTACTTATTTTTAAAGTAATGCATCCAAATTATAGTACCCTTGATAAGAAATTTAAATAAATAGAAAGTTTTGCTATATCCTGAATAATACTTCTTTATAAGATACGAGTTCGAGAAAATAAGGCATCGATTTGTAATAATTTTAGTTTTTGAATGAATTAATTTGTTTGTAATCTTATTCACTTGTATGGACAATAATTCTCAAAACTGACTACTATACTAACTTACTACTTATTACTAACTTAACGTAACGTAACTTATTACTTTAATATACAAGTATCAAGTTATCGATTTATAATATATGTATACGTATTGGAATTATAGAAATGCAAACTGTAATAATACAGGGCGCCCATATATAAAGTGCACGAATTAAAAGATAGTGCTCGTTGGGGAGTTAAGTGAAACTATTTTCTGCTATCAGAATTTCGTGACAAATGAATTAACCTTAAAACTTTAAATAACCTTGCATTTGATGATCTTGCGAAGTAAGGTAGATTATAGGTTTTAGGTGGATCAAATAGATATAACGATAGAGAGAACAAATAGAGACAACGTTTTATTCGGGTTAAATAGATATATACAAATATTTTCACTTCCATGACAGCTTATTCACATAGGATTCATTAAAACTAACACCATAATTATTATTATATTGAACCACCTAAAAATAACAAATTTTTATAACAAAAGGAACCTGTAGCTATAGATATTACTAATTAAAGTAATTTTGGAAGTCATGTCAGTGAAAAGGCGCTGGCTTAGTGTTCAGGACGAAAACGTGTTCGCGCCCATGTGATTTTTAATATTGTATTTGATTTTTAACATTTTCTGGTCCTTCAGCAGCCGGATTACATCAAGAAAGAACAATGCCAGTTACCAGAAGCGCAAAATCATACCCCGTGAATACCCAAGAATCCTCGTCCACTGCTCCAACCTGTTCGACGGGCACTGACACGATCACGGGGACCGAAAAGACCGCTACAACTTCAGAACACACGCGCTCCACGTACGCCACACGTACAACCGGTGCAACTGTGGAAACCGACGCGACGATCAGACAAATCGACGCGGCGCCGACTGCCACCTCGCCAGTCTCCCAACTAGTAGAGAGACCCGAAGCCGGCGCCACTACAAGCGAAGCACCACGGAGAATATGCTCTCCTAAATCTGTTCGATCTTTTCGATCCGGTTCTTCGAACAGTCGTCGTAAGCAGCTAGCGGAAGCGCAACAAGAATTATTGAAGTTGAAAATCGATTTAATATCTGCAAAGATCGCGGCAATGGAAGAGGAATCGGACGTAGACGAACCGGAGGAAGCCACGATCCGCGAAGAACGCACATCGGAGTGGATTCGCACAAGCACTATTGGGTTGAGAAGAGAAGAGCAGGAAGACTACACTGCCGCCACACGTACGAAGGAAGATATATTGAAGGGAAGACCTGCCGAATCACAGGCGCCGCCGCCGACGCGCGACGTCATTCGCCAGGAAAAAATCTCCACGTACGCGGCACCTGCGACAGCTGGGACCAGGTGCCCCCCCACCAACTACGCGGGGGGAGCGCCCCCCTCTACATACGTCACGCACACAAGTGAGAGACAACAGCCGCAATACTATCGTAACAACGACGGCCACCTGGAACATAAGCCGCCGAACGACATATGTTATGAAAAGTTAGCAACGGCGATCACTACTGCGGCACGAGCGATTCAACCCACTACTGCAAGACTTCAAGAATTACCCATATTCAACGGTTCGTCAAGCGACTGGCTGCCGTTCAAGACAGCCTATGAAGAATCTGCAGGGCTGCTTACAGAACAAGAGAACCTGGCGAGGCTCCGGAGGAGCTTGAAAGGCACCGCTAGGGAAGCAGCTCAATGTTTATTCGTCGGAGCCACGTCCTCCCACGAAGTAATGAGCTTACTGACATCAAGGTTCGGTCGTTCGGACGCGCTCGCACTGGCCGAACTGAGTAAGCTACGCACCCTTCCACGTCTGGGCGAACATCCGAGAGACATCTGCAACTTCGCATCGAAGATCATCAACGTCACGGCCACATTGAAGGCGCTAAACAGACCGCATTATCTACACAATGCCGAGATAGTGCGCGCCGTGGTTGAGAAGCTGCCTTCAGCATTGCGCTATCGATACTATGACTTTGCTGCGGAACAGCCAGAATACCAACCTGACCTAGTAACCCTGACCGAGTTCATGCAACGCACAGCTGCACGTTGTGGGAGCTACGCGCCCGTCGAGAACACACCTGTGGAAGACCGGCGGGAGCCAGCAGGCAGGAGACCCATGAAGAGCTACCACACTCAAATAGCGAAGCCAGCCGAGCACGAACAAGTTACTACGTGTCCTATTTGCGACAAGACGGGTCATCATGTGGCGCAATGCGACGAAATGAAGACAGCAGATGTAGCCGCCAGGTGGGACATAGCACGCAAACATAGGCTATGTTTCCGCTGTTTACGGACACGCAAATTTCGCCATACGTGTAAGAACAAGAGGTGCGGCATCGACGGTTGCGAGTACATGCATCATTCACTGCTGCATGGCACTCCACCCTCATCAAAGGAGAAGAAAGAAGCTCCTGCATCATTTGTTGTGGCATCAGCAAAAGACAGAAGCAACACCACCGCGCTACTGAAGGTACTCCCTGTGCAAGTGAGGGGCCCCAAGGGTACGTGCAACGCACTCGCACTACTGGACGACGGGTCAACGTGCAGCCTGATTGAGGCGGCGCTAGCAAGAAGGATCGGCGCAGCGGGTACACCAGCACCCTTTTACATTGAGGGTGTAGCCGGCACGCGAATTAACGTTGGCGAATCGCAACAAGTACGCATTTCTCTGCGCGGGCGCGACACGAATGAGCATACAATAACAGCCCGCACCATGAACAACTTGAAGCTATCGCCGCAAGCAGTGCCACGTAACGTCATACGAGCTTGCCCCCACCTGCACGACTTAGAAGAGCATCTCATCTACGAAGAGGGATCACCTACGATACTGCTGGGTCAAGACAACTGGCATCTTTTACTCACACATGCCGTGCGACAAGGGGACCGACACCAACCGATCGCAACACTCACCGACGCATATCCACACAAGTTGCGTACATACACAGCCGCGCGAACTACTTCCTGCAACGTTGGGCATCTAACTCGCGCCGAGTACTAAGCACGCTGTCACCGGGATCGAAAGGCGACATACTACAACTGGACAGCACGAAAATACTGGGCATGGTGTGGCAACCAGAGGAAGACACCCTGTCTTTCAACATCAACACTCACAAAACACCGGCGGAAGTATACAACGGGGCAAGAACACCAACTAAAAGGGAGGCGCTACGCACTGCGATGTCCATATTTGATCCATTGGGCATCGCCACTCCAGTCACCATACAAGCGAAGCGCATCATACAAGACACGTGGCGCTCGGGCATCGATTGGGACACCCCGTTAGAAGCGCCCGAAGCGGACGCCTGGAGCAGATGGCTGGAAGATGTACGACGACTCGCCAAGATAAAAGTACCGCGCTGCTATATGAAACTTAGTCACGCGCGCGGCATCCAGTTACACACATTCGTGGACGCAAGTTCAACGGCATACGCGGCCGTCACCTATTGGCGTGTAGAAGACGAAGATGGCAACATACACGTCTCACTCATCATCGGCAAGGGGAAAGTAGCTCCGTTGAAGGTGATCTCCATACCACGACTAGAGCTGCAAGCTGCCGTGCTGGGTTGCCGTCTTACACAGACCGTCGTCGACGAGCATCAATTTAAACCGACGAGCCGCTACTACTGGACAGATTCCCGCACGGTGCTGACCTGGATACGCAACGGACCGCGAGTTTATAAACCGTTCGTAGCGCATAGAGTGGCGGAGATCGCTGAACACACTAAAACGAAAGAATGGAGATGGATACCCACCAAAATGAACGTCGCAGACGACGCCACCCGCGACGTGCCACACGACTTCGACTCTAATCATCGATGGTACAGGGGGCCGGACTTTCTATATATGTCGGAAGAAAATTGGCCTCAAGAGGAAGTCACGGACGTCAACGTCACGGATGAAGAACGGGTCCACCTCACCACAGGCGTCGGCGCGCGACTGAAGGAAGCTCTACCCGTAGTAACTCGTTTCTCAAGTTGGATACGCCTCATGCGGACCACAGCGCGCGTACTACAGTTCATAGACAGGCTACGGACGCGCACACAACGATGCGCCGCTTTAAGGAAGAGAACGAGGAAAAATGCCGACGCCGACCCTACTTGGCGAAAAAATAATACAGGAAGACGCCAGTATCCGGTTCATCAAGTGGAGATACATACCGCCGAGCGCACCGTTCATGGGAGGAGCATGGGAGCGTCTGGTACGGAGCATCAAAACAGCTCTGTACACCGTACTGCACGAACGCGCCCCGAAAGAAGAGGTCCTGCACACTCTATTGGTCGAAGCAGAGCACACCCTCAACAGCCGCCCTCTCACCCATGTATCCACTGCTCCAGAAGACGAGAACCCCCTGACTCCGAACCACTTCCTACTGGGGGGTCCCTCACGAGTACCACTGCCTGGAGCCTTCACGGACACAGACATCGATGGGCGCAAAATCTGGCGGACCAGCCAACGACTGGCCGACATGTTCTGGTCACGCTGGATAAAAGAATACCTCCCTGATCTCCAGCACAGACGAACTCCGAGAGCCACCAACGGCGCGCTACAATTGGGAGACTTGGTGTTCATAGCCGACGGGACGCTACCACGCAACACCTGGCCCCGCGGCATCATTGTGGCTACATACCCAGGCCCCGACGGAGAAATAAGGGCGGTCGACGTGCGGACAAACAGAGGAGTTCTGCGCCGTCCTACAAAGAAGCTGGTAATCATTGCAACGGGAGGCAACGAGACAACGAAGCGCGAACCCTAGGACTTTCCAGCTACAAGCTGCGGCGGGAGAATATGTTCAGGACGAAAACGTGTTCGCGCCCATGTGATTTTTAATATTGTAAATTTATTATTGTGATTTATTATTATAATTTGGTATTGTTAATTTAGTTTAAGGTTTGGTAAATAAACGAGAGGGAGAGAGGGGTTTTGCTTGGAGTCTGTAGGGTTCTCCCGTCCCGCTCCTGCATTGGTGCCGTCCCGCTCGCACACTTGAATAGAATGCGAGCAGCACGGCGGGCCAGCGATGATATAAAAAGCGGAGCGTTGGGAGCGGAACGACATTCCAAAATTGACTGCACAAGACTCCGAAGGCGTTCCAAATCTCTCCGCGATCCAAGCAAAACCAAGAACAAGAAGCTCAATTTACAACCAGGCGTTTTTTTCTCACAATCCGCCCCCACACTTAGCATAAATGCCACAGTTTTCTACGATTGTAGTATTCTGCCATAATCGTGTTAAGAGAGAAGGGGTTAAGTATTTAGGATTAGTTTCAAGGTAAACGTTAGATTGTTGGTAGTTAAAAAAAATCGATAAGGTATTTGTTTGAGTACGGGCTGTATGCTCTAAATACACCTATCTATTCACCGACTAAGTAAGTAGATAATATTGCGTCGAATAGCTACTGACAAAAATATATTAACTTGCGACACGAGATTATTCAGCCAAACATAATATTAACAACGTGACTTATTCGGAACGTGATGTGTTGCCACGTTCACTCATCTCGAGACGTGTTTCGTATCGTATTAATAAAATAAGAATAAGATGTGACATTACTTAATAAGATGTGCACAATGTTTTTTATCGTAAGTTAATGTGAATCTGACACCCCACCTTATATACGTGTGATAAGTTGACGTTGTTGGCTATAAAACATACAACAAAAATATAATTCACACAAGAAAAAATACAGTAAAGATACAACATTCTGCCTTATTACACATGCGATGTCCCATAAAATCGGATTTAGCTAGCGTTTTATGATAATTATTATATTCCCATTGGAGGCTACACCCACAACAACATGGCTCTTGAATTTAATAATTATTGTATTCTCATTTTTTATACTAGGTGAAAAAACAAGTTCCTACCGAATTGCAATAGAATTTTTAGTTTTATTTTTCTTTTTTTCACTCTTATAATATGTGTAATATAAAATTTCACAATTGAATATTTTTCCCATATACTTAACATGGCAACTTTTTCTCAATTATTCCAAGTCACAAGACAAATTAAAAATTGGATATGGACATTTGATGAGCTCTCTACGCGTTGCAAGCTTTTGAGAGCCGTGTTGACACGCTTTTTGAAGAGCCCAATATCATCGCTTTAGGAGGAAGACCATTCATATCTTGCAGATTCGAGGAAGGAACAACGAGATTATGTCCGCATGGTCTTATATGTCACGTGGGGATGGGCTCTATCTTTCCTTTGGAAACGTGACGGTGTTCCACCAGTTCCACCAGTTCCAAAAGTTCCTCTGAGCACTCCCCATAAAGACGGTATAACACACAGAGAGCCAACGTGTCTCCAGAAACTAAGGACTTTACAACGTCTGTGAGTTAGGTAGATTGGTAGCACTTACATCCACGCCGCTTCTGCAGAGGGAACTTCATAACTACTAAAACTTTTCGTATCATAAACGAGTTTTTGTGAACCTTCTATATGCAGATTTCCTTCTGATAGTTTTCATCACGGTTAGTTCAAGTAAGTGCTATTGAAATAGCTTATCTAACTTGCCCAGAATTCGTAAAGACTGTGCAGCTGCCACGTGTCGGGAATCGAATTTGTACCCAATTAAACAAAAGTTTTATTTTTTGCTATATTATCAATGAAACTACAATCGGATTTTACTATAGAGATAATAGTTACAATTGTTACAAAATTTTCATCAAAATTCTTGATAGAGTGAAGGTAAATAAATGTACGGCCAGTTGCAATCAATTAACAAAAAAAAAACGGGCTTATCGGGTTACTTGGTTCCTCCACGACGTGAACTGTACCTGTTTATGATTTTGTTTTTAACAGTCGAGAAATTTAAAATGATCTTCCCCTCCTTCATTCGAAATCTATATTTAATACAGAAATTTTTTTCTGGCAAAGTATAATGATACAGACAGAAAAAGTAAGTCGCGCGATGAAATTGGTTAAGGACCGGAACGTTTCCAGACTTTTAACGACAACTGGAAATGTCCCTGCCATTGACAGATAAAAATAGTTGAGAACAGTCTAATATAATATGTAGTTAGTAACCAGTCCCAATAGAGTTGTTAGTTTTTTGCGATTGCTAACAAACCACGCTAATTTGTTTGCAAAAACAAATATTCGCGATTTTGATCCGAAAAATCAGTTAGACTTTGATAATTTGGATGAGATTTCTATAAAACTTTGATAATTGTGTTACGGATTGAAAAAGACAAGATAGGTAGCTACAGATCAGAGTTGTTGCTGATGCAGGTATATTACACACCTGCGGATGTTGATTTTATCTATTAAAAAAAATATGGAAATGTACATCCTTGCTGAATCTATCTATATGAAAAAGATTTATATTTTGTGACATTTATTAATAAAAGAATCAATTTGCACGAAAACAATCAATCTGCTTAACTTAATCGTAGTGGAATTTTATCGAAGTTATCTTATACTGTAAAAACAACGGCTGAGTTGCTTTTTCGGTTTACATCTGTTTCTGGAACATTTGTAAATTATTCCAACTTGCCTTTTAGGCCATGTCATGGTTCGGACATTCACAATGAATATTAGCATCGAGGAATGCGGAGGTTGATGTGGATGATGTTATTCGCAACAACCCTGCTACAGCTGACAGTCCGCTGCGCTCTGTGTACAATGCATTAATTATCTTATTTTTAACACATCAATTTCCCGCTCTGGTCAGGTGCCCTAGTTGCCCATTAGGTTTGGGGCTAGTTACAATATATACTTATTTGTTGTTTTGTTAACGGTACAACTAAGCTAAATTTAAAAGATACGTGACTCGACTTAATTTGAACAAAGTCTTTGTGAAGAGTACGTGAGATGTAGGCCTCATTTAACTTTGGAGCTATCGGGAACAAAACTAATTTACTGTTCACAACTTTGTTTGTATGGAAAATCGATTCACCGCAGATCTGATATATACTTTGTGTTTATCTTGGAATGTGCCACGCGGGCAGTCAAAAGATGAATTTATTTACGGAACTTTTCAGTGGATGGGGATAAAAGCTGGGAATGTGATGATTGTTATTATTCAGCTGTGTTTCAAGTTTTCTTTCAATCAGAGATCGGTACTTTGTCACAGATTTAGGGGCGCTTTTAAATTAGATGCTTGTAGTGGCGCGGCAATCGCGCGACTGTAGCGCTTCAACAAATTTTAGTTCACTAATTTGTGACTGTAAAAATGGTGCGCGTATACCTTGACAGTGGCGCTGCAGTTGCGTTTCTAAATATTGTATGAAAATCAGTAGTGGCGCGCTGCAGCGCCACAGTGGCACCACTGTAGCGCTTCTATAAGCGTCTAATTTCAAGGCACCCAATATCTATAAAGAAATAACAGCTTTGAAGAAACGGCGCCGAATTTATGGCAGGTGTGGTGCTTAGGGGCACTACACGGCGTTACACCTCACATTTTTAACTCGGAATTACAAAGTAATAATGGTTTCCATCTAATATTTATAAATCGAAAACCAATTTGCCATCAAATTTAAACTTTCCTGTTACTACTTTTGACATTTACGAGTAATTTTACGAGAAAAATCGCGGATTATGATCCATTTTGATGAATAAACTCTCCTGTTCTGGCTTCAGAACACATTACGTCTTAAAAGTTACTGCCTTACGAAGTAAATGAGTTTCTTAATAATAGATACTTCCTCGGCAACACCGCACGCTTTGCTGATACACAATTTCTAAGTCAAAATAAACAACAGTTTTCGAGAGGCCCTACTAAATGTCAATGACGGAATTCGTTTGTTTTACGGCTGTTTATGTTTATTTTTAATGTTAAGAAGAATTGTGATGATACATATTATTAGATAATATTTAATGCGTAACAATGTATTGTAATCTAATTGTAGTACATGCTGTTTGGAATGGCGAAGAAGACGATAGATATCAGTTATAATAATATATGTTCACCAGAACACAAATTGAACAACCATATATTTTATAAAATGGAGAAACAATGAATAAACAATGCTTGTCATCATACAGCTATAAACAAACTAAGCGGCCAGTATAAATTTATGGGTATAGTATAGAACCTCAACACGCCTCCTTCCAATCAATAATATAAAATTAACAACAACACAGCATCGAGCTCTTCCATTCTACGAACTTTATAATTTTTATTGGGTATTTTTGGTTTTAAAATAGAGGAAAAATTCACCAAGACTTGGTTGTATGGTTTTAACCCTTGCCTTTTCCTATATTAAGGACAGAATTAAAAAAAAAAGACAATTGATTTGGTAAATAACGGTGCTTGTAAAATATGTTTTTATTTTGTTTTCTATTATAAGTAAGAAATAAATTATTATAATTGTTATTACAAAGATCGAACACTTAGAAAAAATCTTTCGATCCGACAAGTCTTCCAGCAAACCGTGCCAGACGCTATGCCAACTAAGCCAAGAATTTTTACTAAGTGTTTTGTAACAAACTAGTGGAGTCATTTCACAAAAAAATAATTGAATACAAATTATTGTCAAATTTGTTAGCGTGCCGTCCGTGTGGACCCACATATAAATAAAGTTCCAAAGAATCCTTCACTATATCAGTCCCCTATGTCGTCTTTGGACTTGCTAATCTCTTTTGTCCCTTATCTGTTTTTAAACGAAAAGAAAATAAAAAAGTTGGTTGGTTTCCAAGTAACTTTTTATCGTGAAACAAAAGTTTTGGTTTAGACCTTGTTGTACATTCTATTTATTTAGTGATTTACTTGAATTTTTATTTTCTATGTTTATTTTGTTGGTTAGTTGGGTG